AGTTGTGGATGCATCTTCCCTGGAAGTGTTCAAGCCCAGGTTGGATGAGGCTTTGAGCAACCTGGTCTAGTGGAAGGTGTCCCTGCCCGTGGAAGAGGTGTTGGAACGAGATGGTCTTTAAGGTCCCTTCCAACCCAAACCATTCTATGATTCTATGATAATACTGTCATCTGAAGAAATGCCTTCCGGCAGGAACTCTTTTAAAACAGCAGTCATCTCCCATGACCATCCCTGGGACAGAAGTAGGTCACGGTCTTTCTTATGAGTATAGGAGATACAGTTGTGATCATTGGGAGCTGTGAGGTAGGGCTAAGAGACTTCCTCTGAAGCACAGGTGGTGAGATGTGCCAGGCCTGCACTCCTCTGATAATTTCCAGTGGCACAGAGGTTTAGAAACAAGTTTCTGACTAGAATATAGAGCCACCACTCAAATGTGAGCGTGAGGTAATGTATTTAGAAATATCCTTCTTCTGCCATGGAATATTTTTTTTAAATAATGGAGGAGACTGCTTTGGAAGATTTAGAGGCTTAACTTCTGCCTTTTAGCAGGTTCTTTGATCACTGTGCTCAAAGCTGCTGTCTGCAGGAAAAATAAAGCTTTTTAAAAGACTATGGGGAATAAGGGCTATGTGCCTTTTCTGTGTGTTTATCACATTAGCTCCAGCAAGTAAGACATACTGAAAGTCTTCCATCATCTTCAAGCATGATTTTTGGCAGGTGATGAGTTTACATTTGATTTCCCAGCTTGTTGTTAGTGAATTTAGCTAGATTATGATGAAGACTTTGAGACATACAGACTGTTCAAATATTTGGCAACTTCAAGATGAAATAGCTTTAGCTAACACTCTATATAATGTATATACAATTCAGGGGAACCTTATAGATCAAATATCAATCTTCAGACAAAAATAAATGTTCAGCAAAAGCTGTTAGAAGGATAATTTGCAATTTACAAATCAGTGCTATAGATTGTGCCTTATTTGTCTTTGATTTCATGGATTGATTGTGAAATGGGAAAATCAGATAATGGAAATGGACACTGAAGCAATAAAAACGGACATAGAGTTTAGGGTTAGGAAAGACTAGTTGGTTACTTGTTGGATCTAACAGAAGACAGATAAAACACCTGAAAGTATGTACATAGTAAGTAATTTGAAATTTGAGGTTTTTTTCATTAAGCTTCAACCCAGAAAGCAGTTGAACAGAGGAACCAAATTAGCATTGATGATGGTTCATTAGCAGAAGTGAGAGAAAGGTTTTAAAGAAAAAACTTGGCTGAAATAGGTTGAGTTCTGTATCTTGGGTGTGCACAAAGGAAAGTGAGAGAAATTCGCATGTGTGAGAATTTGTGCTGATGACATAAATTGACTCAAATGCTGAAAGTTACTTTGGGGGAAGGATGATTAACCAGGGGAGGTGAGAGAGACAGCAGGGAAAAGCAGCAGCAATAGGATCCCAGATGAGCTTCCTTCTCTGGGATATCTCTCCAGAGCAGCAGGTGGTGATGATGGAAGTGATGGCAGAAGGGTACAGGCCTGCAAATAGCAGACCTTTAGTGTTACTGAGATTAAGACACTAAGGCTTCTGAGGCACTTGCAATTTGTTTGATTAGATTTGTTGAGAATTATGCAAAAATTCAAAAATGCTTTAGAGAGCTGAGATCAGTTTAAAGTTTTGGGTGGAAACTGTGTATGACTCCATAGCTTCTGTGATTTCAGCTAGGTGCTAAAGAACACTTAGGAATTTTGACTAAGTTTTGATTAAGCCTTTAAATACACTTGAACCTGTTACTAAATGAGACCCAAAGGATAATATTTATACAGTGTTAGAGTGCTAAATAATAAATTTATAGGCTGAGTAAGGTAAAATGAATTGACACCCCATAGAGAATGCCTGCCTGAAGGAAAACCACTTCATCTTGCATAAATGATCAGTATTTAAACAGGCAAGGCAATTCTATCACCATGAAAATGCAGTTTTATTGTTAAGAAAGTGTAAATTTCAGTGTGTGTTATATAGCTGCACAACTTCTATTTTAGTTCTTCAATATGAAATTGAGGTTTTGGTATATCAAAATGTTGGCTGAATTACCAGCATATATAATATTTATTTTCTACTGACTGAATCATAATTACAAATGCGTGTACCACTCATATGCTTAAAATAATCGTGAAATGAATGTGATTCGTGAAACCCTTAGCAACCACTAGACTTCCTATGCGTATGCTCAGACACAGCAGTGACTGAGAAGTAATTTCATAAAACACATTTGCAGCACTGAAAATGGGACATATCTTTCTTGTGTTTCCCAGTATCAGAATTTATTGAGAGAGAGCACCTCCAATTAGAAGAAATGTTAGGTAACTGCATTTGAACTGCATTTTTTATGATTTCAGGGAAGATAAACAGACATCAAGGTCTAAGTCAAGAGCTGTCACTTCTAATCCTTCCTCTCCATTGATATGCTGGCCTTGCCTTGACTGGCAAAATATCCCTGTATCAGCATGTTTTTCCCTACCATAATGTAAAAAACCTTGACGTAAAAGTTAGCCATTTTGAAGTCATGTTAGTTGGCCACTGTAAGTGCAGGTAGGAGGAGAGGAACAGAAGTGAGTACCCAAAGGGATCACTCCTGAATCTTTATTACCATATTCTGGATGATTTGCCAGTATCTCTCATCCATTTGTATGATGAGGTCTAGTCTTTTATAACCATGTATTACAAATACTGCAACTGTATCTGGGATTTTCCTTTTGGATAGTCAGTATTTTTCTTCCATCTTGCAGAAAACACAAAAAAAGGAATTATATGCTTTGTCATAATAAAAGAGTTCTAGTAATCTGTATATTATAATTTTTTACTTTTACTTTACTTTTTGCTTTTTACGAAGCATGGACTTTGTGGTTGATTTTTATTATTACAATTTGTTTTTTATTTCGGATCTACATTATTTTAAAGTATTTGTTCGAAGGAATGGTGTATTTAGATAAAGATTTATTTTATACATGTATGTTCTTAATAGAAAAGTGTAAAATTCAAAGGACACTAATTTACATTAAAATAATTGGAATTTGGGTGATTTATGTAGGGAATTTTAGCATTCAAGTGCAATAGTGATATGTTTTATTCATTGTGACTTTTCCAAGATGAAGTTTTGCTATTCTCGTTTTGGATTTCTCCTAATTCAAATATTTTCCTCAATCTCAAATATGTTTGTACATAAAGGAACTTGGATTCTGGGATTGGGCTGTTTTAAATAGATAGGCTGAACTTCCCATTGTTAATGATTTGGAATTGCTGTATATTGGCCCTTTCTCAAAGTGTTCGTGTTCGGGTGAGGATGTAACTTCTGCCTTTGAAAGCTGAGGAGCTACTGGGTGAGCAATACTTTCTACGGGTTGTGAAAACTATTCAACTGATTATTACAAGAATCACTACAGGTAGCAAAACTAGTTTCCAGATTTAATCCTAAATACTTTTAGAGGAATAATTCCCACTTCCCCAAAGTTTTTAAAAACTAATGGTGTTTAAACTGTAACTAACCATATTGTCAGAATATGGTTATTCTCCTCCTCTTTACATTTAATTTCACATTACATGTCAGCCCATTTTTAGTTTGTATTGTTAATTTAAAGGGTCAAATCACTTGTATAATAAGGATTACAATTATCCACTTAATTTTCTTATTCAATATTATATAGTCCAAACAAAACATGAAACAACTCTTTACAGAAAATAACAATTTTTTCTGTCCTTAAACTTTTTAACACGCTGTCAGTATTTGCTCATAATTTCTTCAAGGAATTAATACATTTGGCACACAGCTAGGAATTAATACATTTGGCACACAACTAGGCTTTCTAAAATAGTTCATGGGAACATAATGATTTACAACATATAATTGGAGTTCACTTAACCAACACAGATAATTTTTAAACTGGCATTGTGATTGTTGAATATTAATATGAATAACTATTTATCTGTAATTAGCATTAGCATGTGTTTATTATTTTCCAAGAAATATGTGTTCATTACCCATCTTCAACAGTGACTTCCATTAACCTCAAAATATAATACGAAGCAGGGTTAGTTTACAGTTTACTTTTTACAGTTTATTTCACTTCCCCTTTTAATACGATCTGTGGCAAAAGCCAACTTTTTTTGTACAAAGTTTCCAAAACAGTTTTAAGTGAAGTCCAGATGTGTAAGTTAGAAAGCTGTCTCTTTGCAGTGCTCGATGGTGGGGAGACTCAGAGGGCAGATAAAGGCAGTCTTTGGGAAAGAAGACACAGGTTCTTTTTCTCAGGTTCAGAAGTGAACTTCAGGCTGAATTTTCCTCTTCTGGTTCTTGAAGACTGTTAAGCTGAACCTTTAACTCTCATTTGTTCTCAGTGATCACTAGTAATTTATTTTGCCTTGGAAAAGGAAGAGACAGTCTTTAAAATCTGAAATTGAAATTGTCCAACTCCTCTGTCTCTCTAACTTACAATCTCCCTTCTTAAGTAATCCCACCCCTGGCACCTTTCCTTGTTTTCTTTTTAATCTGTGTTTAGGACAATTATTTAGTATTTCCAAACGTATTTCTCTTGTTGAACTTTGCTTGATTCCATAGAAGAAAACATTTTCTTATGATGACATTGCAAAAAGTATTTTTTAATCACTGATTCCTTATCTTCCTTTTTTTTTCTGTAGTTACTGAAACTGTCATAGGAAGCCTTCTCAAATAACCTAAAATCTATCCTCAGTTAATTTGGTACGGCCCCTGAAAGTTACAGTAGATTTATCAAAACTTTAATTCAAAATGGGAGAATTTTAATGAGGAAGGAGAGAACAATTGAGGCCTGATTTTGTTATTGTTAATCAAGAGCATGCTACTTTGACTCCTGGTAAAATCCTGGTTTTCTCCTGGTTTGCCTGTGTTGTTGAGTGGGCCTCAAAGCTGGTTGCCCACAGCTGGACATAGGCGTCAGCTGCATGGGGAGGTGAGGACCAGGGAAACAATGGTCCTGCTAACCTCACAGACGGTGCTGTTAAAGGTAGGTAGGAGCAGAGCGCATTTGGGTTGTGGTAAAAGCATTTAATACCACATTGCTGCTAATGATGTTTACCCAATATGACTGAAGATGGTTCTCCACCCACTCCTTTATCAATTGCAGATGTCTCTTTCTTCCTTACAAACCGGGGCTGCCAGTTTTAAAATGCAATTGTCAGTTGTCCTGAGAAAAATAATCTGTTTCTTTTTTTCTATAAATCTCTTTCTTTCATGTTATGTCATATTAACTCTGCATACAGTTTTCTTTGCACCTTTAAACAGTTCAAACAGTCCATTTTTCTATTTCACAAAATAGTTTCTCCATTTTTTTCTTGTTGTTGTTGTTATTATTTCTTAGTAGCATGGTTCACAGGCAGAGTAATACAATTAGCTCCCATTTTAAGTAGCATTTCAGGTTTTCTAATGGTATTTCTCATGTCTGTTTTCAATTTATCACACTTAATTAAAAGAAAACAAATAAATAAAAATCCTGCCCAATGCAGCTGGAGTAATAATTCTTTTTTTTTTACTTTTCCTTATCCTTTTTACAATTTTCTTTGTCTTGTGGAATGCTGGGCTATGAGTATTTTAACACTTTTTGGTTTGTCTTATAAATTGACATATTTATTCTTTACTGAAATGTTAGTTTCATCACTGAAATGTCAGCTCGCAAACTGTGTGGCTATTTCACTTTAATGCATAATATATTGAATATATTGAAATTCATGTCATTCATATACTGTTATAACCCACTTAATTTTGCTGCATTGGAAGTCAATTTTTCTAACTTTTGGGGTAGACCTCATGATTCTCACCTGACAAGTGTCTGCTCAGCAACATTATAGAAGGATTTTATTACTGTGTCCAGCTTCCTAGTGGGAAGTTGGACTGTAGATAGAGCCAGATTTTTCTTGGAAGTGCGCAGCAATTTTTGATGGCCACTGGGCACAAGTTGCTATAAAGAAAATTCCAGTTAGACATTGAGAAAAAATAATCCACCGTGAGGCTCGTTAAATATTGAAACTAGTTGTCCAGAGAGTTTGTGAAATCTCCATGTATTCAAAGCTCTAGTGGAAATGCCTTTGATCTAACTTTGAAGTTATTCCTAACTTTGAGGTTCGCCCTGATTTGTGCAAGAGCTGGGATCAAGTGGATGTCCCTTCCAACCAAAATTATCCCATGGTTCTGTGATAGATCTGCACTGAGTCAGCTACAGACACTCTTGAGGACATCTCCACAAAGCATGGAGGTGACAAGGTCACTGGTCATCATTGAATTATATGGATTTTGTCCTTTTGTGATTCTGTAGCCTCTTCAGAGTCACTTTAATTTTGCCAGAGCAGCTTTTCCAAATTGCCTGGTCTGTTACTGTGTTCTGCATTCCTCCTAGAATATGAACTATAACTACAGGGCAAGTTACATCAGTTGAGTGCCACCTATGCAGCAAGATAGTGCAAGGTCATTGTGGCTTAAAGGCTCCCCCAGGGACTCCTTTCCTCCTGGAGGTGTAAAAATGATTCCACATATCTGTCATCTGGTCTATGCCCTAAGAAAATGTAGAACTGCTGGAAATCATAGGATTTGAAGGCATTTTGAGCTAATATCGTTCTACCATACCTGGCTATGCTATGCCCCACTGGGAAGTGTTGCATTTTTGAATTCATTTATGCTTCTTCTTTGGAAAGTGCAATTCAGAGACATGCTTGGTCAAACATGGAGGGAACAGTGCAAGTGGCAGAACCATCCTACAGCTGTTTGCAATGGCAATGATGCTGCCAGACTCACCTGGGCATTTTCGCATTGGTGCTCAGGAGGGATTATATGTGTGTTTGCATGCATTTACGACAGCAGACATCCCAGGAGAGTTACAGTGCATGTGTTGGGTACTGCAAGATGAGTGTTTATGAATTAGCTTCTTCAGTCTATAGGTACATCCGAAGTGGAAGGAATTATATACTGGAACTGCCTCCCCATGAGTAAGGTTATTTCTGTGTGAGAGATGCGCTCCCACAGTATTTTATCCACCCACTTCACTTCTCTAAGAAAAACTTTTAACACTAAATTTTCCATTCCATTGATATGCAATGCACTGTGTAAAATACCAAGTAAATATGGTTGCTAAGACCCTTATTTATGTTATGTTCCATGCTAATTTGAACTGAATTAAGACTTTGTAGAGCTGAGGAGACTGATCTTAAAACTCCATTTGCTGAAATTATCCTTGCTGGTTTGGACATAATTATACTTAGGCCAAATAAATATAAAGAAAAAACATGAAAGTGGTTTTATGATGGAACAGTACTTTTGAAGTTTATGAGAGATTTGTTTTGAATATCACTGCATTTTTTAAAATTCATACATTTTAATTAGGTCCAATCAAATATTGTATATGCCCAATAAAAATAGTATATAATTTATATGACCTATTATTATATAACGTATTGTGTATTTTTATATATGCTCTTTCATGTCATAGATATGATTTTTTTTGAAAGTAAAGTCAGCTTAGTGCTGACTCAATTTCAATCCACTTTTTAACTAAGTGCTCGTTTCACACATTTTTTTCACATTTCATACATATAAAAAAGATTATTTCATGAAAGTTATGTTAAAATAATGATATATCTTTAATTACAGAAAACTTTATCTCACATGATACAAAACTGCAGATTATTTCAACTCCGAGGTACAGCACAGAAAGAAGGAAAATACCCATACTTCTTTAAGCATCCATTTAGTCACAGCTCTACACAGTTACTGATGAGGTTTTCATTTCATTCCAGTGCTGTGACTATGTATGGTTAGGTTGAGCAGTGTCAGAAGTGTTCTTCTCACCACAGAGTTTAAGAAAAATCTGGTATTCAAAGAGTTTATCTGTATAAGTGTATTGCTACAGAGGCATGAGTTGATGCATTACAAAATCCCCTTTGGGTGTATTCATGTTTGTAATGTAAAAGAAAGTTCTCAAAACTAAAAGTAAAAGCACACTTGGGAGAATATTTGGATTTTTCTAATGCCACAGGCACCACCTTTAACCTGGTGTAATGGTGAATTTTCTGTAAACAGAGAAGCAATGGAGATTCACATTAGCTCACGCTAATAAGAAATACAAATTCCGCAGCAAAAACATACTGGAGACCTAAATAAAAATTAAACACATTTAAATGAAGCAAAATCAGTATATAATGGATATTAAAAAATTGTAATCAACCTTCTAAGCACAGAAAAATTACAGTAAGACAACTTGAAAAGTTTTTTTTTATTATTTAAACAAAATTAGAGACTCAGGCATAATAGTAATGTCACAAATTAATATGAAATCACTCTGATGGTAGTTACTGAGTCCTCTCTGACTTAGTGGAATGTGTATGCCTTTTTTTAATAGATCTTACAAATTAGGCAAGCTGTAAAAACATAGCATTGGTCATTGTTATGTGTATTCTAAAACCAGATTTTTTTAAATCAAGACAAGAAATGCAGTGGTTGTCTCTTGCCTCTACATGGGCTACTATGTTGGTTCCAATATATCAAATAGAAAATGCAGTTACTAAAATTTGATATAAGCAATGCACTGATATTTTTATTTTCTTTTTCACAGATTAAGATGCTTGGTAAAGCAACTGGAGAAGGGTGACATTAATGTGGTGGATTTAAAAAAGAATATTGAATATGCAGCATCTGTCCTGGAAGCAGTTTATATTGATGAAACCAGGTAAGTCTGAGGGAAAGGATCTTGGGAACAACATTTGAGCAATTTGGTCTTTGCATGCAATTGTAACTGATATGAGCTGAAGATCTCTGCACATCAGAATTGTATGTGGCTTTTAGGTCTTTTAGTGACAAGGTTAAAGCAAGTAAGATTCCAAAGGTCAGATGTCTGTCGTCTGGACAGTTTGCCTAGTTCTCATCTCCCTCACTTGTCAAATGTCCACAGTACAAAGTCATAAGAATTTTCTGAAGGATAGATTTTCTTTCCCCCACAGGCCACATACTGATAATCATGCTAAGGACTGTATCACTGAAAAAAATGGGCTGTTTTGGAATTAAATGCTCGTGGAGATGAGTCAGAATATTGTAATCTGGGCTGTAAATACATAAATTCATTAAAAACTGTGGTTTATTTTACAATGCTTGGTGCTTTGTTTATGATTATTGTTACTGGCAGTATTACTGGCAGTCATCTTTAACGTTTGATGACTCCAATTAAATTAGAAGTTCTAAGTATTTGGCTTCTTGAAAGAATTTTAAGATATGTACTATATAGAAGTTAATGAGCTAATTTACAGTTTTTATTTCAATGTGCTGGCCTCTTTAAGTTTTTTCTAAGCAGAACGGTCTTGTAAAGATGTCTGCCAAAATTTCTTCAATACTACTGGAGCAGGCAGCGTATGTATCTGTTCTGTACTACATTTAAGGAGTCTGCCATTGTACTGATTATTTCATGGACCCAACTCTCTCTCTCTCTCTGTCCCCTCACCCTTGCAAATCTACATATTTGATATGGTGCATAACGTAGTGCTCTAACTTTTTCCTGTTTCTTTTCCTTTGATGCATCTGATTCACACACCAAATATTGCCAGTTGGGAATTTGGAACATCTGCTATTGGGCACTAGAAAGCCTACCCATCTGAAAACAGAAGAATGAAAACAGTAGCAAATGAAGCTGGTACCAGTAGTCCATTTCTGACAGATTATATTACAGGCTAGGTTGGCGTGATCACTTATACTGGTGTCATGCTCATAGAGTGCATGCATGTCCAATTCTGTAAAAAGCTGACAAAACTGTAGTAACGGAAAACTTTCCTGAGCAGCCTTCCGGCTGCAATACAGTTCTTAGGGACACTTTCAAAAGTGTTGCTAGCAATCCCAAGTTAAATACATAACTTGAAAAGCATTAGGGACCTCAGGGCTCACATGTGTTATGAAGATGTTTACAGATTCAGTTAAATTCAGCTTAAATGAGCAGACTTGGACAAATTGTCTTCTGTGACTTCCAGGGGACCTGAGCTTTGTTAGAAAATGGAATGAATTTAAATTAAATATTTTAAAATATTGGTAGTTCATATGTCACTGTGGATATATTTATATATCAGTTTTTCTGGCTGATGTAAGTTAATCAAGCTTCTTTTACATTGAATTGAGGGTTAATTTGTGGATTTACATTGGATTATAGTCATAGTTAAATTGGTATAGGTCCTTAGGGAGACAGATATAAGAAATGATCAACAAAGTCCTCTTTGGGCTCATATTACCACAACAGAGGCTGTAAAATTCAGTTTTTCAGCAATTGTTCTAAACATAAATCTTGTTGGCACATCTCACGTGCGCTCAGGAAGCTTTGGAAGATCGCAGTCCTCTCTCCCTTGTGTTACGGGATACTGCATCACCGCCAGTGGTTAGAGCTTAAGCATATACTTTGCATTAATAACCATGGGAGCTGTGTCAAAGCTGCACAGGGGACAAGGCATAAACCACTGTTTATTCCTTCTATACACCTCCCAAACACTGTGGTTAAATGGGTGTAGTATTCATAGCTCTTTCTGAGTAGTAGCACCAGGACAATGATAATAATGTGATACTTAGTTTCTAAACAGAGGCAGCCTCTGTGGAAGTGAATAGTATCATTACAATGAGGAATCCAGTCTTTCTGCTTCTGTGCGGGAGCATCAAGACAAGTAACAGATCCTTCATACACAGGGAAAACTGGTACACCTGAAAATACATAGGCTTTGGCAGCCACAGGTGCATTATTTTTGCTGTAAGCAGATCTTTAAATAAGCTAATTGCCCTCATAGGACTTGACAACAGGATTATTAAACTGCCCAAATGCAAATAAACATATATAATTTTGTAGTGGTTTGGAAGATTTTCATAGTCCTCAGGCTATTTTCTTAATTCTAGGGGCATAATGACCTCATAATGATGACTATTTGTTTTTAAAAATTCTGCTTCAGTACATGGATAAAGCTTTTGCTCTTCCCTAGCTTGATGCACAACAATGTTTAGTCTTGTTTATTTATTGCATCCAATATTTTGCAGAATAATCTGATTTTTCACTGTATGAAGTCAGAAAGGAAATAGCTGAGACAGGTACCTTGTTTTGCTCTAATTTATTGAATACTTCTGTTCTCCAATGCAGCCTCAGAGTTTGTAAACCTACCAGCTTTTGGTAGCATTCCTTATATAAATACAGATTAAGTACACCGTTTATGTGTATCTTTCCATACCTGTAGCAATATTTCTGAAGTATATATCTGTAGACATATAAAACAAACTTTCTTACCCATGTTACTTATTCTATAAGTAATCGTTAAAAATGAAATGACTTTAATGAAACCTACTTTTCAACTTTTATTACTTATTTTTAGTGGTTTGTATTTTATAGCCTGTATTCTCCATTTTAGTTTATACCATTTGTTTTTGTTTTTAATTTATCTTCCCTGGACTAATGTGGTCTCCATGAAATTCAGACTCAGTGATGCATTTTTTGAATGTGGTGGTCTTTGTGTTAAATTTACGCTAAAAATATAGACTGAGTCTCTGCTTCTTAGTTGGACAATATTATGTATAGTGCTGTTTTAAATTTTGACACTTCTCTGTTAAAAACAACTTGTAAATTAAGATATTTATTGTGTGGCTGAGAGACTGTGGTCACCACTGGTACTTTCATAGTAAACTCTTTTGCATGACAAGCTGCAAAGATAATCACATTTTAAATAGCATGACCAGTATTCTGTAGTCTAAATCTGCACTAAAACATTTAAAGATAAACACACAAAGAAGGTGTCTTCAGCTTTTGGGAAGCTAATCCCTGAGGAACAAAAGCAGTGTATCGAGTCAAATGACAATGGAGGCTGGAATTATCTTGTGTGATTATATTTGTCCTCCTTCCCACCAAAGAATACATGTTCTTTGTCCTGCACCGAGCTACCACTGCCAGGAGTCTAGAACTGAGTTAACTGAACTCATTAGTAGATTAGAAATAATAGTTTAGATCATAAGCAGGATGAGTGAACCTGAATATGCACTTTTAAACATCGCAGAGTTCAAATGACTTCAGTAAGTTTCTTACGTATGAATTGCTGTATGGATAAAGTAATTGCTATAGTATAGAGCAATAACAATTAATACACCAAGTAAAGCAGTGAGAAAACCATCTGAGTACAGATTACTCTTATTAATTAGGTCCCAGAAGGAAGTTGCATGCTTTACAAGATATAATAGTTGCTGAAATTTGGCTTATAAGATAGAAAATTTAATGATACCTGGTTCTACAAGGTACAAAGTATTGCAGGCTTAGGACCAAAGGTTCAGTACAGAGTTTCTGCAACTCACATGAAAATACCTATGCTTTCTATTTTAAGCTGATGCATAAGCCCTGAATTTTGTCCTGATGAATTTACTGACCCATTGCTTACAAGACCAGCTTCAACCGGCCACCTAAAACTGAATCCTATCTTCAGTCTTCTCTTCTTCCCCACCTTTCTGGGAGACAGACTTCAACATCAGCTGAGAGAAAGCCCTCTTAAATATCTCTACAGATTAGGAATAGCAACTAACAGAGAGTTGGTTAGAAGCATCCTCCTAACTCATCTTTCTGTAATGACGCACATCCTATTAAACAGCATATTAAAGTGATCCCGCCAATGGTCCCATACCTATTGCAGAAGGACCTTCTGCAATTCTTCACAGGCACAGAGATGAAAAAAGCAAAAAGAAAAATCAAAACTAAGGTCAATAAAGAGATCCACGTATGAGGTATCTCACAGAGTGTGTTCAATAATGTAGCCAAGGGTCAAGGAAGAGCCTGACCTGTTCCACAGCTCTGGGGAACCATTTATACTACTTAAAAATTAGATCTCAGCCATTAGTCTAGCAAAACCACTTTTCTCTTTATAAGCCTGAGCTTTTCTCAATGATCAGTTCCAATTTCTTACAGTAGGAAATACCCATTTTTTTCCTGTGTATTATTACTTCATTTGAGTTGATGGGAAAGCCTGTATCATTCTATAAAGTGTGTACACATAGAAACACATGCAAACATGTAAGCTGGCAGCACATTGAATCTTTATTTGTAGTGTAACAATCAGCTAGAAATGACTGTACAATTCAACCCTTTAGCAAATAGGAAGTGTTTTTCTGAGGTCCTCTTACTTTCCTTTTTCCTGCTTCTCTGTTGCTCTACACTATAGCCTTTTGTCTGAGTGTAAGATAGCATTTTTTACAACTATGTGCACATACTCATTTCCATACATGCTCTTTTTAAAACTATATGCAGCTGGGTTGAGGAAAAGGCAGAAAAATAACACAAAGATTTTATTTATGGAATTCTGAGAGCAGACTCATTAGAAACCGGGATAGGCAGTAGGCATAACCTTTCAAAATTACAAAAAATTAGTTTAGGGAAGTGACTGTCGATATGTCATATAGAAAGTTCTGAGCTGATAGCAAGTTGGAAAGCACAGAGAAATCAGACTTACATAAGTGTGCCTTCCTATGAGCTTAATTATCTGTGGCCCCATGTCAATTTATAAGCTTGTTTAACAAGCCGTTTTTAGGACTGCTGCATGTCTCAGTGCTGAATAATTATAAGTTGCACTACACACTTCCTTGAAAGAGACCTAACACTTTGGTAGCTGAAGCAGAGGTTCATGGTCAGCTGAAAGTAACCCGTGGAAGTCTCACAGTTCCAGCCCCTCAGCGGATCTCCTC